TGAATTGTGACTGAGACCCTGAAATCTCATTTTTATCCTAACAAAGTCATACAAGTTTGGAGCACCATCATTTTTGATTGAACGGCGGCGGCCCCTTTAAATCTAAAATACTCGAAGTATAAATTCAAGCTTAATGTTAATAGTTAGAATATGAAAAATTCCTGACTGAACAAAGTGCACAATTGAAGTCTAAAACGGGCCCTTGTTGGCTCAGCTGTCGAGTTTGACTAGAAACACCCTGATAAGAGTTCCTCAGCGACTGAGTAAACAAGCCAACTTGTAAAGTTTTGACAGTCCACACAGCAGAAGTTAAAGGACCCTAGTGGATTTCACAACAAACCTGTTGCCTGCTTCACGAGGATATCCAAAATAAGGTGTAGAAAGCCGTGAGTGACCTCTGTCTTTAATGATTTTGTTAGCCAGACATCTTTAAAAATGAATAAACACTAAATAACACACACCATCTTGTGTTTAAAGCCTAATTTGGGGCAGAGGTCACAAGGGTTTGTTTAAAGGAATTAAGTGAAGTCTGCAATGGCTTTCTCTGGCTATTCAGTACCAAATAGGGCAATGGAAGCTTGTTTTTGTATTTATGTTAGCATAATTAGCGTATCCCTTTAGTTTTTAGATCATTTGTTGCTTTAATGTGAATCTCTCATGCACCACACTTCTCTGTTTGTTCGGTTTCAAACTAGGTGACTATGGCAGACCGCTCTGCTGCAGACAGAGCCTGTAAGGACCCCAACCCCATAATCGACGGCAGGAAAGCCAACGTTAACCTGGCTTATCTCGGAGCCAAGCCACGGGTGATGCAGCCAGGTGAGGCTTCTATGTGTTGCTATGAAGAGCAAAGACATAAAGATAATATTCATGAGAAGACGCCATTTGTTACCAACTGCATCACTCTTTTATTGACACAATGACTCCCAATAAACCCTACAAGGTGTGACTGACAAAGCGCAGATACATTTATGTTCCAACAAAAGCATAGGCATTTTTCAGTTCTGTAGTTTCTTTGTTTGTACATGAGCTGATGTTTATCTAAGGTTTTCAGGTCTTAGTTAATGGTAAACAGTGACTGTAAAGGAGAATAGAGATGTAAAGATGTGATTAACTGTAAGCTATTGTACTTAATGTATACAGTCCCATTGACTTGGCAAACTTCGACAAAATAGTAGTTCCACCAATGTTTAACTTCATCTACAGACATCCTTAGCAGGTTTAGTTGGGATTGTAACATTAGTAATTTTGCTAAAATGCTCAAAGCCTTGTTAATTTGCTATTTAATTATTTTGTGTGCAGGTTTTACCTTCGGTGTTCCTCAGATTCACCCTGCTTTCATCCAAAGACCATATGGGTGAGTAACAGCAAAAATATATTATGTATGTGTTCAGTGGTAGTTTTAAACATCAAACCAGTTTTAGGACCAGATTATGAACTCACAGAGGTGTCATGAACAAATGTATTTTTATGCATTGTTAATAGGGAAGACGTGACGTTCAGTGCTTATTCATAATTACTGAAGCTTATTTAATACTTTGATATAATTAGATTGATGTTGAGAGTGTGTATATGTGTGTGTGTGTGTGTGTGTGTATATGTGAGTAAGAAGATCTTTTACACTGGACACTATAGCCTGACTCAATGTTGTCTATCTTTCTCTGGTCCGACAGGCTCGATTTGGGTTAAGATAACTGGTGGTTTGAGGAATAGCTCTGAGAGCTTTGTGCAGATCTGTAGCTACAGTACCTGTAGACTCAAACACACACAAACAAGCTCGAAAATGGTGATTACAGATGCATGTATGTTGGTTTTATTTTGGTTTGGACTTTCACTTTTAATAGTACATAGAGCTGTGTGTGCCTTTTTACCGTTATGAAGTGGTGTTGATAGCTTAACTGTGTGCTTTTTTTAATTTAATGGAAAAAAGGCTGGTTTTGGGGTGCTGAATTTCCGTGTTGTGGAGGAGTGATAACTTTGCCACGCTTTCATCCAAAGACCATATGGGTGAGTAACAGTAACACCTAGAACTGTGAAAAAAATGATTATGTAGGTGTTCAGTGGTAGTTTTAAACATCAAACCAGTTTAAGGACCAGATTATGAACTCACAGAGTTCATAATCACATGAACAAAAGTTTTTTTTATACATTGATAATAGGGAAGACAAGATGTTCAAATGCTTATTCATAATTACTGAATCTTATTTAATACTTTGATTAATTAGATTGATGTTGAGAGAGTGTGTGTGTGTGTGTGTGTGTGTGTGTATATGTATATGTGAGTAAGAAGATCTTTTACACTGGACACTATAGCCTGACTCAATGTTGTCTATCTTTCTCTGGTCCGACAGGCTCGATTTGGGTTAAGATAACTGGTGGTTTGAGGAATAGCTCTGAGAGCTTTGTGCAGATCTGTAGCTACAGTACCTGTAGACTCAAACACACACAAACAAGCTCGAAAATGGTGATTACAGATGCATGTATGTTGGTTTTATTTTGGTTTGGACTTTCACTTTTAATAGTACATAGAGCTGTGTGTGCCTTTTTACCGTTATGAAGTGGTGTTGATAGCTTAACTGTGTGCTTTTTTTTAATTTAATGGAAAAAAGGCTGGTTTTGGGGTGCTGAATTTCCGTGTTGTGGAGGAGTGACAACTTTGCCACGGAGCAAAGTGTGATTTTTACTTTGCTTCCTTTTGATTTCTTCACATTTTTATTGCTGGAGCTTGTGTTTTTGATAATTTTTTTCACTTTTTTGTGTTTTCTGGTGTCTTGTTATTGGAGTGAGTGCCATTTTGTTTTGTGTGCCGTTGTTGATCCCTCTTCACGCCAAACCAACAGCCCGACTACAAACTTGCACGTTGCGGTTTTATTTTGCTCACTGATTGGGAGTCCTGTCACACTCACAACACAGAGACTGACACATGCTCACCCTTTACCGTTCTCTCCCATCTCCATTGTGTCTGTTCATTTCTCCTCCTTTTCCAGCTCTCTCTCTGTCTCTCCTCTGTCGTCTCTTTACTCTAGCCCTATAAGGCATCCTGCAGTGGATCCAGAGTCTCTAGAGTCCTGCCGTTTCTCTTTCAGTGATGATCTCCTTGTATATTCCCTGTTGACCATTTCTGTAGGAAAACGAAACCAACCAGAAAGTTTAAAGGGGTAGTTTACCCAAACAAAAAAATATATATATACTAATTTACTCAGCCACTTATTGTTCCTGTATATTTTTTCATTAGTAAAATGCAAAAAGAGATGGAAAACAGCATGTCTGAAGTGTTCTTTTCCATATAGCAAAAGTGGATCATTTTTACATTGCCAAGCTCCAAAAAGGACAAAAAGTGCTATAAAAGCATCACAACGATTGCGCTATATTCCAAGTCTTTTGAAGCCATACGATGGCTTTGTTTGATGAAAAGACAGACATTTAAAGGGATAGTTCACCCAAAAATGAAAATTCTGTCATTAATTACTCACCCTCATGCCATGTTTGATGAAATGTGAGAGCTCTCAGACCCTGCATAGACAGCAACGCAACTGTAATGTTCCCAGGTCCAGAAACGTTGTAAGGACACATACGCATGCTTTCCCCTAAGCGTAAACAACGCTGATTACGCAGATTACGTTCATGCGCGCGCTTTCTCCCTCGAACGTAAACAACGCTGATTACATCGATTACGCTCTTGGGTACTCTCCAAAATGGCGGAATACGTAACTCGGGGGAGAAGAATTGTTAAATAAATTTGTTATTTTTGTTTTCTTTGCACTCAAAAAGTATTCTCGTAGCTTCGCAAAACTGAAGTTGAGCCACTGATGTCACATGGACTGTTTTACCGATGTCCTTACTACGTTGCTGGACCTGGGAACATTACAGTTGCGTTGCTGTCTATGTAGGATCTGAGAGCTCTCACATTTCATCAAAAATATCTTAATTTGTGTTTCGAAGATGAGCGAAGGTCTTACGGGTTTGAAACGACATGAGGGTGAGTAATTAATGACAGAATTTTCATTTTGGGGTGAACTAACCCTTTAAGTAGCTATTTGCTAAAAGTGAACTGCAAAACTGGCATATTTAAGCATTGACGCCAAATACAATGGGATCTTTTGTGTCTTTTCGGTGTATAACTTAAATTCTGGTCTGTTCCTCACACAGAATTATTGAATAGGTTCTGAAGAATTGAAGTATAGAGTATAAGTCAGTTTTGTCATATTTTTATTGTGCTTCTTTTGCCATTTTGGAGCTGGGTATTAAAAATCACCATGTATATTTATTTACTATATGGAAATGAACAGCTCGGATCTCACATCTTATTTTATGTCTCAGGAAAGAAAATACAGGTATGGAATTACATGAGAGTGAGTAAATGATGATAGAATTTTTTATTTATTTAATGGTGTTTATAAATTTTTTTTTTTAACTGTCCTGACTACCTGCTCGTGTAAGTTTGCTGTTCAGAAGTTTGAGGTTGGTCATTTTTTGATAGAGGTCTCTTAAGGTCACCAAGGCTGCATTTATTTGACCAAATTTCATGATATTACTGTATTTATTATTTTAAACTAACTGTTTTCTTTTTATTTTATTATTTGAATTTTCAGCATCCATTACTCCAGTCTTCAGTGTCACACGATCCTTCAGAAATCATTCTAATATGCTGATTAGCTGCTCAGGAAACATTTCTTATTATTCATGTTGAAAATAGTTGTGCTGCTTAGTATTTTTGTAAAAACCATGATATATATGTTTTAAGGATTCTTTGAATAGAAAGTAAAACGAAGTAAACATTTGAAATCCAAATGTTTTGCGACATTATAAACGTAATTACTCACTTTTGTGATTTAAAAAAAAATTTTTTTTAATGCATCCCTGCTGAAAAAAGTATTAATTTCTTATTAATTTATTAATTTTACCAACCCTTAACTTTTGAACAGTAGTGTGTATCATGCCAAAGACAAAGAAAGAACAGTTTACAGAGGCAACTTGACAATTTACTGTAAGATCAGCAGGCATATTAAAAAACTGGCAGGCGTTCAGTGTCATCGTTTAATCTGTGGAGGATTCCACAGTGTGTGCGTATACGTGTGGGTGAGCGGGTGTCTTTGTGACATGCATGCATGTGTTTGCAGTGTTGTGAGCCCTCTGTTGTGACAAACAAATGTCTGGATGCCATAGCCCCCTGAGCGAGCCTTCGTCACATGGCCCCGTGCGGTGTTAAGGAAAACAAGCTTCACCATTGTTTTGCACAAAGGCTGTAGTGCTGACACTGCAGTCGCATGAAGCTTTCTCTCGCTCTTTAACACTGTCTTTCTCTTTCTCCCTCTATCTCTCTCTCTGGCTCCGGTCACTGTCACAAACTCGTTCTCGGCTTGGGGGGTTGGGCCGCTCCTGACATTTAGCTTTGAGAAAAACTCAACAAGGCCCAACATGTGCCACATTGCCGCTGAGATGGCACCCCTCGTCTAGCACCAGTGCATTGTGTTAAGGCATTTTTTGACAGTGTTGTCAGGAAGCTGTGTGTCAAATGAACAGTGGCATCATTCTTTGACCTTGAAGCGGTTGGAAAAGGTTGCTCAGGGGCCAAACAGTGTTGGTAGTCAAATTGGAACTGTGTAATATATGGGTCAGGTTTGAAATGTGCAAAGTCATGCTTGTTCTGCAACTTTCTTTTTAGAGTTTCTCATGAGCTCAGCGTTAAATCGGCCATTATCACACATAGTGTGTAAAAACAGCCTAACCAGATCATGCAGGAGAATTTGTCCAAATTGTGTAGAATATGTAAGTCTAGTTCTCTTCTCCCTGATCTTAGTTGCACAGCTGAGATCTTCACAGATGACAACAGGTGTCTTCTAGATCTGTGAAACTCAAGTCTGAAGTTGACCTTTATTTAGACACAAACCTCAAGGTTCCTGGCCTGCAGTGCTCTAGATGGATACATTTATGTGCAGTTATTTTAATCTCTATTTAAAAAAACCTGCTAGTTAGTTTTCAATGGGAGTAGGTTCTTTGTATAAATCATTGATTATTTGGGCTCATAGATTTGTGACAAAAAAGGCTGATCAGATGCGTAGATTTTCCTAAGGGCTCACAAGACAAACAGATAAAGATGTAGAAGGTAAAAACTTCTTGCATTTAGAAAACAGCACTCTAGTGTGGAATGACCGAGAAAGCAGAAAATAGCGTCCAGCCCTCCCTGTCACTCACACTAAAAGAGCTGCACTGATTGTGGTCTTGAGTCAGCTGCATTTTATTTAACTCAAAAGTGGTTGCGCAAGGTTTCTGTCATATCTTTGTAACTTGGTACTGCTTTTAGACAGCGTGTTCGGTAGTATGAATCCCAATGTACTAACAACTAACAGACCAACCTAATATTAGACCATGTTGTGATAGACATGCCCTGAGCAAGAGTATTACATTTAACTTAATTTTTTTTAAAGATGTGCTTAGCTACATCCATTAAGTGCTAGTAAGTTTATTGCATTTATTTGTTTGTTATAACTTTACTGCTTAAGCTATTCTTTATACAATCTAGAGTCAAAAACATCTTAGTGACCAGCCACAGTACTTTAGCAAACCGCATAGCAATGCCCTAACAACTACCCATTGTGACTTTTGCATGGGCAAACTCTATATTTTGTAGACCTATTTTGGTGCAATCTTAAAATTTATTGATTTTTTAAAATTTGATTGGTAACATTCTCATATATCTAATTACTAATGTTATATTAATTCATTAACTTATTAAATTGAAACTGTGCCCCCATAAAAATAGAAATAAATGCTCATAAGATCCAGGGCAAATATTGTCCCTTAATTGATTATTTTTAAGTTGCTTTCCAATAATTTGTTCATTTAAATTTCTCACACTGATACATATGTAAATCACAGAATGAATGTCTGTGAGATGTCTGTTCACAATGTGAACCTCGTTTTAAATGAGTGAAGTATTTTATTTAAATGAGTGAATAGTCACCTGTGTGTGTGTGGTGATATTTTTGTTGCGGCGCCTGTGCAGGTTGAATGTGAACTTCTCAATGTTTGAAGCTGAGTGTATTTTCTCTGTGTTTGACTCTTATGGTAGTCTATATTAACACAATCCCTGCTGTCACCTCAGGCTGGCAAGGTATCTATGAAAGATTTCATAGGAGCATCTTTGCCCTTTGACCTGAGTGAGAAAAAGGAAGGTTTTGTTTCATTCCTCTCATTTATGGCATTATGTGAGTGGTTGTGTGTTTTGAGTTGATGTTGGTAATACATACTGTTGCCCTTTTTTTTCTTGACGCCTGTGGTATGCTTATTTTCTTTCATTTGGGGCAGAGGTTTTGGAGTTTGATTTTGGGGGTGGTCAGGGGTTGAGGTTTGATAGTTATAATGGTGTGCTACAAATAGGGTTGCCATGATAGAACCATTCTCTCACTTTTTCAAACCATCTTAACGAACTCAAATTCTAGTCATAAACACCATCTTATCTAATAAGCCTCATTGTGGAAATTCCTATTCTACTTGTGCAGGTCAAAGTAGATGTTGCTTCCCAACAGCCACAGATCCCTGTTTCTTTAAAGTCAAATTTCATTATAAACTCAATTACATTTTTCATGAGAATCTCCAACCCTAAATTCTCATAGATGTCATTGTCATTTACAATATAGTTGTATTGCCTTATTAAATCATATTTAGTGCGTCAGGCATTTCAATGCATTCTGTCTTCCCTGAACTAATTAAAAAAGTTCTCACCCGTCTGTTTAGTGCAGACAGTAAATGTGAAAAGCGCTCTGAAAGTGCAACGGGGTACGTAATGAAAGGCAGAATGGGCTCATTGTTCCTGATTGCTTATTTAATCAAAACTCCCCTCTGTGTGTGCTGTCCAGCCTGAGGCTCATTGTCTAAGTGCGGAGGGGGAAACAGCCAGCAACGTCCCTTTTTGAAAACTGTCCAGCTGTCAAAGTAGCCCTGACATATTCACAATGCTCCCCTCATCTCCTCTTCGCCTCTCCTGGGTCCTGCCTTCCCCCATTTCATAGGATGGACACAGGGGTGTTGAACACATGTGACTTTTAACACAGATGATTCACACAGATGATCTGTTAACTTAGCATTTTAAGTATTAAAAGGATGTTAAATTATTTTTTCCAGTCCCAAGTTAGAGTACAGACAACTTTAAGACAATTGTATGTTGTAAAGTGTAAACAATGAGGGGCTATCAAAACATTGCTCTCTTTGTTTGAGAATCCCGACCAGCCTGACATAGCAACAGTGGCTAAGCCAATGACATGAGCTTGGGGGCAGGGCATCAGTTCTCATCAGGTCTCAGTTTTTTTTTTCTTTTTTTTTTAAGTCTCAAAAAGTTGCCTGTGTGTCTGCAACTGTAGTTTATACACACATATACATATATATATATATATATATATATATGTATATGAGTATCTATATCTGCAATAGACTTCAGCAGATGATTTTGCTAAACTACAATACAAGACGAAGCTGTTAGCTAACAAAACATTTAAAAGGTACTATAGTTTAAAAACCTGTATTATTGAGTTAATAGATATTAAAAACACAAACCAACACATTCTTGTCCGCTTGTTTAACCAATGACACACGGGTGAATTTGGGAAAAACCTGTCTGATGACAGTTATTATTTGGTACCGCTAATGGCACGGAAATTACAATTGTACAGAGAGATGTCTATTTTGGCAACCTTATATCTCTAATAATCACTAGCAGGCATTTCCTTGGTGTTACTGAATTGTGGAAATGGGGTGCTTGGCCGCGCTGTGGTTGTGGTTCTGCATTTGTCCATAATGCATTGCTAACATGCTGTCGTGTTTGTCTCTCACAGGATCCCCACTCACTACGTGTACCCGCAGGCCTTCATGCAGCCCAGCATGGTCATCCCTCACATCCAGCCAGCGGCGACCTCCACCACCGCGTCCTCACCTTACATCGACTACACAGGTGCAGCCTACGCACAGTACGCCAGTGCCGCAACCGCTGCGGCTGCCGCAGCCTATGAGCAGTACCCATACGCTGCCTCTCCTGCCGCAACCGGCTACGTAGCTACCGCCGGCTATGGCTACGCCATGCAGCAGCCACTGGCCACCGCCGCGCCAGGGTCTGCAGCTGCGGCCTTCGGTCAATACCAGCCCCAGCAGCTGCAAGCCGAACGGATGCAATAGCAACCAAAGAGACGGACGGGAGACGCGCAGGGAATCGACGCCCAGCGACTGCTACTAGATGATGAAGAGGATGGTGATGAAAATAGTTGCTGGTTGTGGGTTGATTGCAAGAGGAGGAAGATGAGGAGCATACGGGAAGGGGATAGTAATTGATAGAAAGATTATTAGTGAGATGGGAACTCCATTGCTTTCCAACTTGCTGTGATTTAAAGAAAAAAAGAAAAAAAACAAACAAACAAAAATAAGATCGCAGAAAAGGACGGAATCTAGCTTTTTACTATTATCATTATCATTATTGTTATGTTATCTTTATTACTATAATTAATATTAGAGTAGGATATTTATTGCGAAAAGAGGTATGCAGCGACTAATCGCTGTGGTATAGGTGCGTTGTAGACGAAACCTTAAGTCCCGATGCTGTCATTTAATGTAGGCGACCGTTTTTCCGAAGGACTCTTTGAAATGTCCCACATTGTTTTGATTCTAGGGCCCCTTACCTTTTTATTTATTCTAATTTTTGAGGGCTCTTTTTGTTCTGTTTTCTTCTCAAGTGCATTTTTTTTGATCATCAGGGAAATGGAGCATTTTTCAGCGATCTAGAAACGACACACTCTGCCAATCAGGGATAGTAGACCTAAATGTGGCGAAATGGAGAAAGATCCAGTGTTAGCATGTTTTATGTGTTGTGAACTACCTTTTTATCTATCTGATGCTGAATGTCCCCCCTTTCTCTGACTCCTGTATTGACCTCCTGACCTATGCAAAGCAAACAGGCCGCTAGGGGACAAAACAAAGTGCAGGAACGGGAGAGATTTTCTTTTGGTCCCCCACAATGGGCATCGAACAATTTGAAGGCACTCTCGAAAAGACAAAAAGACTGAGACGTATTGTATTATATGCTTACAAAACACACGGACTAACATGTACACCGTTACACAAAAATGTAAGTGTTAATGTCTGTCTGTCTGTGGGCGAGGGAGGACCCAAACACATACACAAAGATGACTACGTAGGGGAAAAAGCATGGGGCATTGCTCAGTACTAGTACTAGAATCAGGGAGCAATTGCTGTGTTGGAAGGAACAGGCACTGATATACACACACACAGTCGGATTGCTCTGGAAAGATCACTGGTGCTCGTTTATTGAGCTGTCACAGTTTCATCCCTGGACTCCGGTCCTGCTCTGGGTCTGTCAACTCTTCTTATCCTCCTAGAGAGGGTCCAGAAGCTTGAGGACAGACCTGTGCATCCTCCCGATATCAGCGACGGATCTTTATCTGGAACACGACGAGGATCCGCGATAAGGGAGGGGGGGTTCCTGCAAGCTTTTTACCCTATACCAATGAACCGCTATCGGCCTGGTCTTTATATGTTCACTAAGAAATATGTCTGAGCACCAGCACAGGTAATAAGGTCTATGTATTTCAATGAGCAACTCTTTACAGAACAGCACTATAGTGAAAGGATCCGAATCCGTGCGTACGAGGGTTCTTTGTGTGCCTTACATTTGTAATGCTATTTAAAGACATCTGCTATTTAAGATATTTATTTTGAGTTGACTTATGTTGTGCTCTAAGATCACTGACTTGGAAGCGGTACTGTATGGATATAATGTATTCATCTCATGGCATATTATTATAAGTTATTGAGTAGGCTTAGTTGTAGTATTATTAACATACTCAACCAAAAATGTTGGTGTAGGACTTAAGATACAATTCTGTATGTGCACTGTACAATTCTTTTTTTTTTTTCTTTTCTTTATACATTTGGAATTTTAGAACACGACATTAAATATCAGCTAGTGTAATGCCTATCGTATGACATTTATTTTATTGCAGGCCTGTTGTTTCGGGCATGCATCTCCATTTGTCATATCCAGAACTGTTTAAAAGACTTGGCGAAAGGACAAAAAAAAAAAGATTTGGCGAAACCTAAGGGACATGCTGCTTCATACACTAGAATGTATTGTCAGTGTCGAGGATGGATGCTGTGCTTCTATTGCTTTAAATATGCATCAAATGGGCTATTTTACACTGTTGAGAATTTTTATACTTGAACTCTTTCTTACAAGGGAAAATATGAAAAAAGAAGAATAACACACAAAGGACTTTTTTCATTGTCACTGGATTTGGGCATGTAAAGCGTTAACGACTATTTAAAATACGAACGTTCTGTAGGTATTTAAGCCTTATTTCAGATTTTCAACACTATTTACTCTAAATGGAAATAAAAGGTTCTATATTTAAACCTCAAATGCTTTGTTCATTGCACAGGCCTGATTTTTGTCACCGTTTCCATTGGGAAACAGCTTTTGGATCTGTTGGATGGTGTGCTCATGGTTTGGATTGTTATATTGTGTAACTTATTCATTGTATTTCAAAAGCACACATTCTAGGTCATTGCTACATCATTGATTCTTCCCGGTTCAAACGTATTATATGGTGAATTGCAAAATATTTCAATGGCTTAAAAGTGCTCATGTTTTGTTTCTTATGGTTTTTGTTTAGACAGGCGGTAGCTTTACCACTGCAGTGACGAAGAACAAGCTGTTGTGTGTTTCTCGTGGATGAAGGTGTCGTGAAAAAGAAGCAGATATTCTCAGCAAGCCAACAGTATAAACACACAGGCTGTCACTTGTCCTCGCCACACACCGAGATGCTTATTTATGACCTTGTTTATGCTGGTTTGTGAGGTGACAAATTTAACTGACCTCATCTCTGCCTGTCCAGACATTGCTTAATAATGGAGCTGGTAGAGCAGTATTCAGGGTTCATTACAAGTTAAGCTCAATCAACAGTTTTTGTGACCGTTAATATCGATTAGCACAAAAAATAATTTGGACACGCACACACAGACAAAAAAAGGTTGTGGTGAGGCACTTACAACGGAAGTGAATGGGCCAATGTTATAGAGGATATAAAGCAGAAATGTAAAGCTTATAATTTTATAATTGCAATGATTTCTTCTGTTAAAACAGACAGCATTTGTGGCATAATGTTGATTGCCACACTTTGCCCATTGTTAACACACACACACACACACACACACAAAGTTTCTAACAGTGAAAGTAAACGTGGCCAGTTTTTAAAAGCAGAAATGTGAAATTTTAAGGTTCCATTTAAAAATAAATGAAAATACATTATTACATACAATGGAATTGAATAGGGCCATTTTTGGAGGATAATGTTTATTATTTTACAAAAGCACTTACATAAATTCTTCTGTTAAAACTTGTGTATTATTTGATCTGTAAAGATGTTCAAAACATGTTTTTTTTTTTTTTTTACAGTTGTTTGAGTTTTAGAGGTTTTGGCAAAGTTGTACAAATTGGAACTTCCCGCGGAAAAGATTAAGCAGTTTTTTCTTCACTCTAAAAGCATGTTAACTTGAAAACCTCTCTACATCATGTGGCTGTCACATTGAAACAGTGAGCCCCATTCACTTCAATTGTAAGTGCATGACTATAAACTCTTTTTGTGAAAGAAAATGAGGCGAGTTAAAAAAGGCTGAATAAATGTGGTAATCAACAAAGCCCCACAAGTGCTGTCGATTGAGCTTAATGTGTACTGAACTGCAAATATTCCTTTAGCAATAGTTCCGTTTGCTTCATTTGTGAAATTTATTCTATTTTGCTCCATTGCAAAACGATTCAAATGAACCCTGCATGTTTAAACTAGAGAAGGGAGACATGTTGAATAAACATGATTAAGTGTTGATTTCAGATGGCTGATGAATAACGAATGTGTTTGTGTAAACATGTCGCCAGAATCACTAAATATAATTTAATATGACTAGTCAGGTGATGGTATAAGCAAATTTGTGTATGTGTGTTGTTTGTGAACCTCATACGGGATAGATGGATAGATTGAGCAATGTTTGAGCCAAATCGCTGTGTCATGGATCTGAGATCTACCATGTTGACCTAGTTGTACCCAGTCTTCTAATGTTCAGGACAGAGCACTTTGGGTAATGACCATAAACCGGCCCTAAATTCCAATCCAGTCTGACATCCCATGTAACTCAATCCTAAATTTAAATATAAACCTCACGCATGTTTTATCTGTACTTAAAACCCAAACCAACCCAGCACCTGTATTCCTTTCAACGCCATTTTGCATATTGAAGACCCGCAGTGGCTCAGTGAATTATTTAGGGCCTTTCTGTGCACTTGGTACTTCTCGAGGATGTTCTATTTCTGCCCGCCGTGTAACCTGATGCTAGCTCGTGTTTCAGTACCACTGTGACACAGCAGCGGCGGAAACTTTCCACCACACCATCACCAGGGATGCCTGTCTAACGTCGGCCATGATAGCACAGGACCGCGGGAAGAAAACGCCACCGGGAACTGATGCAGAATAAAGGCACTGATACCGGCTGACAGGCAGATTACTTCATAATCTGTTGTAGTGTCAAAAGTGCAATGAAGCAAATGTGGAGTGTAGATAATTAGTTGCTCAATAGGTAATGGAAATTGAATAAACTATAAACAAAAGTAACAAAATGATCATCAATGCGGTTTATGTATGCATATATTTATTTTTACATTTTGTTCTATAGTGCAGTAGTATTCTCTGACAAATATGGATGTCTGAGATGATAAACGGTAATTAAAAAAAAAAGTCTAGCTTTTCAAACCATGTAACAAGTTCTTACAAATGTTTGTTATCCTTGTGTTCATATTGGCTTAATACATTTGTTTCAATAATATTTATATTAATATATTAATATTTTGATATTTAGTATTTGCATATTTTACTATTCAATTATATTTTTGATATTTAATATTTTCTATAACATTTTGATTTAATGACAGGTAAAACACTAAAATATTTACTTATCCTTGCACCTTGAAAACAGCAAGCATAAACAATCACTATTAAAAACAAACAAACAGAAAAGTTCATATTTTACTATCTGACCTAATATGGTGATATTTAGGGTTTAGGTTTTTTATGTGTGTGTTTTTTTTTTTACATGACAAAAAAGTGGCTTGAATACTGACTTTTTGGCACCCAAAAGTATATTATTAATAATGTTTATGCTAATAATATGCGTTTTATAATTTGCTTCAACATTTATTATTTAAAAAAAGCTCAAAGATTATGCCAAGCTTTTATTTTTCCAGGAATTTTATGACACTTGTAATAAAACTATTCACATATAGATAGAAAAACACCTTCTGAAATTCCTTTAGTGGCATTCAGTGTCATATTTTCATATTTACTCAATGGGTGGTTGCTATTCTTTCAGTATATATTACTGTCATTCAAGGTGGCACCATCAAGATTCAAGATGTCCTTAGAAACCTTCTCAGTCTAACTGTCTCACTGCTCTATCTAGGCATCTTGATGTAACCTTTCTCTGATTCATCCTTCCCAAATACGGAAGTCCTGGAAGCGGCTGCCCAAGGCTCAGTTGAGTGACAGCAGGAGAGCGCCGGGGACGGCAGGACCAGACCGCCATAGCCGAAACACATCTCGCTTTTTCTAAAGAAAACGTGAGAGTAAACCCCGGATCCCTTGTCAGAGGTAATATTTGGGTAAGAATGACTCTGTCTCTGTCATGTTATGTTTCCAGGTCGTTAGCGGGACGTTTTGGGTCGCGCCTCGCGCTCTGAGCGGGTGGGAGGTTCTCATGGAAACGTGCGCGTTTTTGTGTTTGGAGACACGCGCACTCGCTGTGCTGGCAGCAATTTGGTTTGAACTAGCACGATTTTTAGGTTGCAGCAGTGGTGTGTTGGTGTCAGAGGGCAGGGTGCCTTATCTTTTCACTAATGGCAGGATCTGTTAGTTGTCATATCAGCGCGTGCAGGCGTCTGCTGCCGGTGGGATAGAGATGACGACGAGACGGGCTAGTTACTTTAGCTCTGTTATTAGACATGCCATGCGCTACATTTCAAGCGATGCTGTCTAGTAGCAATTCTTATATGTTAATATTATTATAAATCAATAGGGTGACATAGCCTACTCCCCTTGTATATTGGCTAGATTTCAGAACAATTAATATTCCTTTAATAAATATATTTCGTAATTTTGAATATAATTTTTTATATATACATAATATGTGACCCTGGACCACAAAACCAGTAATAAGTAGATTGAGTAGGCATTATTTGTAGCAATAGCCAACAAATACATCGTAAGGATCAAATTTATTGATTTTTCTTCTATGCCAGAAATCATTAGGATATTAAGTAAAGATCATGTTCCATGAAGATATTTTGTAAATTCCCTACCGTAAATATATCAAAACGTAATTTTTTATTAGTAATATGCATTGCTACGATTTTCATTTGGACAAGTTTAAAGGCGATTTTCTCAATATTTAGATTTTTTTGCACCCTCAGATTCCAGATTTTCAAATAGTTGTATCTCAGTCAAATATTGTCCTATCCTAATAAACAAAACAATACATCAATGGAAAGCTTATTTTTTGACTGGTTTATGACTGGTTTTGTGGTCCAGGGTCACATATGTCCCATCACCATATTTGCTAAATTTCAGAGCTTTGTTTCAAGAAAGCATTTGTGCATTTGTATTATTTATTACAAAATATCAATTATGTAAAACATGTAAAAATATTATAAAATATAAAAAAATGTAAATACTACTACCAATGATTTTAATGCTTGTGCTATATTAAATATGTATAGAAGTTATTTTTAATACAAATAGTAGATGCATTGGGTTCATGTTGATGATGATGATTTTGTTTAAACCAGAATCAGAACCAGAATAAGATTTATTGCCATGTATGTTTACTTAAACACACAAGGAATTTTGGAGATTTACGCAAAAAATTAAATATAAATATGTGTGGAGACAAAAGACAAGATAGCCAAAATATGTATGCATGTACAAAATAATCTATATACAGATACATACAATTTTGCAAGGGAATGTTAATAACAAAGGTGAAATTCAGTAGTAGTTGTCACCAGGATGTCGCAACTCCCACCTTTTTGGGAGATAGTCATTACATTTTGTCCCCCCTCTTCATAAAACATTTCTATACCCCTGGTTATTCAAACATGGTAAGTGATGTAAATGACGTAGATGCACAAACCATATTTCTTCAAAATATCCTCCAGACAGCCCATG